TTCTCATGCTGAGGCTTCATTGCTGATCACAGCCTTTATTATAGTAACATGTACCAGGACTAGTTTATCAAGATAGTTGGCCACTGTTCCTTCGACATCGCAATGTAGCGCTCCAGCCGATGAAATGCTGCTAAAGTGCATGCTCTGTTCGCCGGTATCTCAGCTTCCTGGCGGCACAGACACGATGCACATAGTCCCACCTCCAGGATGACCGTGTTCTTTTAGGCCGGTACGGAAGCGGTGCTGGCGTCACGTATTCTGTGACAAAGGGTCAGCATGTAATATGAGAAGATTAAGTGTTTCGTACCTGAAATAGGGTTCGTTTGAGTTGGGTTTTTGCTGTCGTCAGGCTGGTTAGGGTCGGCCGCTAGAATTGTTTGAAAACATTTGTCGATGTTCCTTTGGGCAGGGGTCTTCGCTGGAAGACCCGACTGTGAAGCGCTATCAACCACAGAGCGTCGCACAGCGCTTGCTCGCTTTGGTTTGCCTCGATTCTGGGAAGATTTGGCGCCAGTGCGACTCTGCTTTCGCAGAATATGGTACTTTTTCCCTCGTAAAGATTCAACGCTTCGATGCACCTGATATTCTTCATAGTATGCGTCGGAGAGAGCTTTCCACGACAGCTCCCGATGGGCATCCAACCAAGGGAGAAGATTTTTCTCCTCCCATTCTGGCCAGCCGTGTGCGCTACGTTGGGACATGGTGATGCTCGGGCAAGTTGCGAAAGTAGCCGAAAACGGGTGAACAAAACAGCAGAAAGTGATCTGGAAGGCGTAAGGTTGTTGAGTTTAAAAGGTTATAGTGTGGTGTGTGTGGCAGGTAAAAGCCGACTACTGTGTGTTATGAGCTTTGGCCTAGCCTGGTGAGCCGGTATCAGACTCTCACTACTCGCACCACTTCAAAGTTCTGAAGACCAAAAGGCCCTCATTGATGCACTACGTTTCGTTGAGAATCAACAATGCCTCAACTTTTGATGCACTCTGCTTCGTTGAGAATCAACAACGTTGAACGCGGCCACAAGAGCCCGTTCTTGTTGACAATTCCCCATTGTTTCACCAATTCGTTGAAATATATTGTCTGACCCGCCTCTTAGTGAGACATTGTTCAAAATGTGCAGTATTTGAAATAGATATCTACGGTAGGAGTGAAAAATGCGTGCGCTTGCGATCCCCTCCTCAATTACGAGCAAGTAAACACTCAAATCTGGTCCCGGAATACAACATGCTATAAAGCCGGAGCGCCTCCTCCTATCACAGGAAATCAGAACTAAGACCACTCGTCACCCCTGCGTATCTCAGACGCAAGTATGGGCGGAATTCGAAAAGTCTCGCACACTCCTCGACGACAAAACTTTCGAAGCCGATTGCAACGTGCATTGTCCTTGTCGTCCTCTGAGTCTGAAGATACTGGTAGTCCATCCAGGTCCGCTACAGGCGATACCACAGAGGACGAGTCAACTTTTCAGGAGGAACACGACTCTGGCGACCAGGACAATAGCACCTCAGCTGACGAGACCGAGCAAGAAGCTGCACGACAGCGGAAGACTGTGTTTGGACACGTAACCGACTTGGAAACGCGCGGGGAGACTCAGCTTTCCGGAGACAGCAATTCGGTTGCTCTTAAATGTCTGACGGAGTAAGTACAATCCTGTCAAGGACATAATTTACGATGAGCTTGCTAACAACATCCAGACTAGATAACCGGATGCGGTCAGTTCTGGTCCATCTTGAGTGACAATGTAAAGCGCTAACCGTCTCCGCAGGTCTATTGAGCGCTCATCGCATGACCAAGCCACCTGGAATGAAACCATTCGCAACGATCTGGCCGACATTTATGGTCGATTGGCGATCGTCGAAAGTGAGATCCAGAAGGGAACCAGGCAGGGTTCAAACAAAGCTATAGAGGGCCAGAAGATCGGGCGATCCCTGCGTCGGCAGAAGTGATGCGATTCAAGCTTGATTTACTAGGGTAAATTATGTCTTGAAGTATGACCACCAGCTCAACCGACAGAATATGAACATCCTCATCATCGAGGCTGGATTGGACGTCACTGAACAAGGCTCGATTGACTCAATGCCAAGCTGATGCCATGGCGAGTGATGTATCGTTTGTCGTTGCCTTGGGTCTTCGTATCTCACCTATGCTTCCCTTAGCTGTGCAGACGGAAAATATGACTGGTATATGAACTGTGCCGAGATGGCTCTCCTGAACCGACGGGCTATAGTCGCGAGCCACTACATCTTACCGAGTAGATTGAACGTCTGATTAGTTCCATCATTGCAGCTGATTTGTATTGCCTGGCCCACTAAGCTTTTACTTGGTCTGTATAAGTGAGGAAAAGCCCATGAAAGATAAGACTATGGTAGTTAGTGCTCAAGGATCATGCAGCATGTAACAAATGATCAAAGATTGGTTGCGGCTATTGAGGTGCCGCCATTCGCGGTTGATACTCGCGCAGTGGTTCAACGTGCCACATCTATCGACTTGCGATGTCCCACTCAACGAGCAATTGCTATTTGTGATTGAACTGAACCAGGATACTACGGCAAGCTTCGGCTGAATGCCGAGAGGAAATAATGACTATAATGCGCAATAGAAGCGTGGGCTTCTCCGCGAAATGAGAGCCAAGATATTAGCAATATTCGGATCGTTCAATTAGAATCCGTTTCCTTACGACATGAGGAGACCACGTGAGTAACAAATCCGCAGGCCAGCGAGACTAGGTCCTTTCTCTCATCTAAAGCGTATCTGAGCGTCTCGGCCTTGAGCGGTGTGATGCTGAATACTGTATCGAGGCACCGGTGCTTGCGCGTGCTCAAGTTACAAAAGCACGCAGCCCTCCCCTTGAGGTTGATTAACAGAATTTACAACAGTCACGGTTTGGCACGTGGCATATATAATCAGAAGGTAGGAAAATGGTTCTTCAAGAAGTATCTGCTCGTCGACTACATTGCAAAGGCCGTCTTCTGCAGGACATTGACCTACTCATACCAACGCACCCTAATTGTCAGACAAAGGTTCATCTCAGTTGGTCGTAGGTAGTTCATGTTGAGTACCAAGTTGGACGTTGTCATTGTTCGATTGGGAGATGCTGGGGAGCATATCGTGGCCAAGCGTACCTGCGCCACCCTGATCGGGCCATCCTGCCTGGATCATTCCGGAGCCTGGCAAATAGGATGCCAGTCGTCTGTTCTGGAGGGTGTCGATTGCGCTCCAGAATCGAGTGGTCGCGGATACCAGCTCTGTGTGCGCCTGATCCAACACTAGCTGTATATCATTCCACGGGACCTGATCTTGCAGCGCGGTGTTTGTGGATTCCAGCTGCTGCTGCAATTGGCAAATCTCCCGCTGAAGCCTCTGGTGCTCGGCTAAGGCAGTATTCCTTGCCGTGACTGCGATTTGCAATTCCGAACTCCTTTGCGCTTTCTCGGCTTTGAGCTTGTCCAGCAACTGAGAAAGATTGAGGTTCTCTCCATCTCTCTCCTCAAGCACTTCTTGAAACTCCTGTTCAATATTGCTCATCACCCGGAGACACTTTGTATGCGCCGCTTTGTCATTTTTCCTCTTGGGCTTCTTCGTAACGGAGGACGTCTGGTATAGTAAGTAAAGTGCATTCAAATGAAACGGGTACCATTACGGCAGTTCTAGCCATAACAAAGTACGAGCAAAAAGGCGAGCATTGGCGTACCAAAATTGTGTGTGATCTAGTCACCGGTTTGTGAGAATTTCCTCCATCCTTGGATATCGAGCCAGTAGAACGAAGGGAATAAGACGGCGGTGCAACATGCCGCTGTACTCCGTCAGACATGATATCTGCGTCACCCTGAGGAGGCTTGGGATTCTTTGCCATGTGTGATCTTTTCTTCCCCAAACTGAGCGGTGGAGTAACAACGTGCAGGAAGGTTAAGAAAGGTATCAGCAGTGACCTGGCATTTTATAGGAAAAGGAAAAAGCCTAAGTCTGAGATCTGAAACAGAATAGGGCCCCTACCAAGCAGCGTGTCGGGACGAGAACCTGGAACTCAAAAGATTGAGGACTGTTTTATATGCTGGACTCCGTGGAGCGTTACCGCAAACGCACTAAATGTATGCCCTTCGATTGTACTGTCGGGGATGCGAGCAATCAGCCCGCACAAAAATGCATGTGTATGCACACTACGTTTTCACAGCATAAAAAGTCCCAATCAGCCTCATATAATATCAGTAATATCTGGCATGAGACTACCGTTTCCTTTACTGGATATATTGAATTCAAACAACAGGGTCAGCAGGAACCGAGAGTACGATCGTGCCGCGACAACGCTTTAGCGATGTGTCGTCCAAATAGTGTGATCACTAGACCACTTTCCATGGTGTAACGAGCGATCCGGAACCTCGCTGCGAAGTCTGTCATTAAAGCCTAGAGAAATTACTACAATTTATACATCTCAGGTCCGTGCTTTTTGGAATAGGACTCGGAATCAGGACGAAACAGAAGTTCTTTATCCGGTATAGGCCGAGTCCTAATAAGTATGTGTATTTTGAAATGCTATTATAAGCATAATTGCTCAGTTTGCGTGCCCCGCGTCCCATTTCACTGTTATGCTTTATTTGAAGTACGTGTGTCCATGAAAGGGATCCAGCCCATCAAGTGCGGAAGTGACAGTCAATTTCAGCTGTTGGTTGAAGAGTTCAGACTTACCACTTTCAAGTTGCGACGCAGCAGATCCTCCCTCTAAAAGGCTTATTTGCAGGAACTCTTAGTGGTCTTTCGATATACTTCGTTTCTTAACCACCCTGCTCGGGACTCTTATTATCCACTTTGCTAATATTTTTCGCTCGGAACCTATACATACGTATGCATCGCTATAAGATGTGCACCAGCTTGAATCTGGAAAGCTGGGTATCAACTGTTGGCACGTACAGCAGCGCCTGACTTCGCCTTCCAAGTCGGAAAGATGGAAATGCTCTTTCAAACCCTAATCACATGATACAGGAAAATAACAAGGTTTATACCTACCCGTACTAATACCAGCTCCTTTTCACGATACTGGTAAGGGGATACAATAGTCTATAGTTTAATTTATTTATTCCTCAGGCTTTTCACGACCTTAGGTCGTTCATCAATAATTAGTAGCCTAGGGTGACCGGCTCGACCGTGTGACTCGCTCGGCCGTGGATTACGTTGCCTGTACTTCTAACTTCTGTAGCTGAATTGCCTTATATTGGGAATATCAAGAAATGAGTCAATGTACTTGGCATTCTTCTGCTGATTTGTAAAATACGAGATATATCCGCAGTGATTTCAAAGCAAGTCTTGGCTGCCAAGCATACAGGTACCAACATGGAACCACATAGAACGGACCTCACATATAAATCCAGTCGGGTTTCCCTGAGCGCATTCAGCAGCAAAGTCAGCCTTCCCTCTGAAAGTCTTATTAGAATGTCATCTGTTAGCATACTTGGTCTTGGGGCCATGGGAACGGCCCTGGCCGCTCGGTTCCTCGAAAAGAAATACAAAGTCGCTGTATGGAATCGATCTCCAGAAAAAGCAAGCCCTTTGCTCGACAAGGGCGCAAATATTGCCCAAACAGCGGTGGACGGTATCAATGCAAGTGACCTGATCATTATCTGCCTCCTCGACAACGCCGCTGTCCAAACAACCCTCGCCGGCGCTCTTGACCAACTACAAGGCAAGACAATCGTCAACCTAACAAATGGAACACCTGACCAAGCTCGCAAGATGTCAGACCTGATCGTTGGTCACGGTGCTCGATACGTCCATGGCGGAATCATGGCTACTCCTTCCATGATTGGTTCACCTCATGCTCTGGTTCTGTACAGCGGGTCACAACAAGCATTCAAGGCCAGCGAGCCTGATATGTTGATGCTAGCTAAGTGTGTCTTTGTCAGTGAGGATGCGGGCGCTGCATCCCTGCATGACCTGGCTCTACTTAGCGGCATGTATGGTCTCTTCTCGGGCTTCCTGCATGCAACTGC